AACTCCTGAGATTCTGTGATTCTGTGAAGAAGGCTTTGGATGGGTCAGAGGGAAGATCCTGCTCTGCTCCTGCGCTGTCATTTTGATCATCTGTCTTGTCTGCTGTGCTCGAGTAAGATGTTATTTAATCTGGTGTTTTCTGCTGACACCTGCTGGCCCTTAGCAGAAAGTTACTGTGGGCTTTATACAAAACTCTCCTGCTTAAAAAGCTTTTGCAACTTCGGAAGTCGTTAAGATGATCTCACTGTTAGAACCGGTCTTTAATCTCCAGGTATAGGTAACTGATTGTATCTGTCCCAGTATCCTTCCCATCCCCTTCTTGTTATTACCGGTTGCAATTCATCTGTGTGCTCGCTGTTCTAAAATGCAAAGCTACAACGTGATCCGATGGAGTGTGTGGTGTGTCATAAACTGCAGTGTGACTTGGACATGTGAAGTCTGGGGACAATGCTGGAAACTTGGAGGTCTTGATTTCCTAGTTTAAGGAAATTTCAGTTGGAAATAAGCAGCTCCACTGCAGTCGGTGTTACTACACTGGCACACAGCTGTGGATTTTCCAGAGAGACCAAAATGAGAGTTCTGCTCCTAAAATGATGCCAGTCACATCCACAAATGGTGATCCACATAGTGAAATCACTACTCATTCTTTATCTGGGGCATTCCCAAGGTGCCTTGTGGATTAGGAACGTGGAAATAATCCATTAAATACAAAAATACTAGTTCACTCACCAGTAATCCAAAATAAATTGTGTTGTAGCCAATTAACTTTGATTATCCAGGAGATGGATGGGGGGCAGGGCACTGGGGCAGGGGCTGGCACTGCTCCCTGTGCTGTAGCTGTGCGAGAACCAGTCAGCCTCGCATCCCAGAGCCTCTCACAAGCTCACACACGCTGTGGGAATTAGCAATGTGTATTTTAGATATTAAGAAAGTGATGCTTATACCTTGTTCTAATTAACAACATCCATAAGATGTTGTTTTCCAGAAACAAATCCTCCAGAAAGTCCAAGGTAGAAGATTATGTTCTGACAAAAGGGAGAGCAATTCAAAAGGTAAATATGAGTTTTGTAAGTTATGTGTAGGATTAAAATAAGTTTAGAAAAATGCCTGAGATCCCATGAGAGAGCAGGAGGTGATGCAGAACGGATGCAGAGAGGGCAAGTGGGATACTAGGAGCATGAGGGTCCAGCATGGGTCATCTCCCTTCTCTTGCCTTTTCCTACTGAATTGCTGAACATTTATTGTGAGAAGATGGGAGCTGAGGGGAACTGTGGGCTCAGGTTCAAACGTGCTCTGTGGGTATGGCAAGGACAGAGGGTGCCCTTTCTTTCCTAACTATGATAGGAGAGACTACACACTCTCTCTGGGTTGCAAGGACATTTTTTAGACATGGTCAACAACAGAGGGTCTGGACTTTACAGAAAAGGACTGACTCCACTTAAATTTGATGACTTTTGAGGCCTTTCTAGTTGGCAAGGGGCGTCGTATCCATTTCAAGTGACGAGACAAAGTTTGTTTAGATGAGATTCATTTAACCTTTCACTTCTTAATGTGTCACCAGGGTGTTGGTGATTCACTGCACGATACCACAGCCTCTTCATACTGTGCAGAGAGTATGTCCCACCCTGCCCACGTTAGTGTGCCAGGGCCTTGAGACCACTAATTACCCTGAGTGGCCTCATGTAGGTCCCCCACCCACAAAACCTCCACCCCTCGGTGCGGGAGCTGCATTTAAGCTGAGGCCATTTGGTTTGGTCCTCGTTTGAGCTGCAAGTGGGTGCATGGTGGACTTGGACTTGTAGCTCTTGACATCCTGGCTGTGGACCTGCTGCGTGACTGTGGACGTACCTGAGGAACCGGATTGTGGTTGTTCCTGGTCAGTGCCGCCAGACCTGCTCTGTTCCTCTCATTTGGGTCTCATGGGGCTGTGGTGAGCTCTCTCCCCCTGCCTGCCTTGCTGTCACCTTTGGCTTCTGGCTTGCTGTGGCCATGCACCCCTGCTCTTCCTGCTCCCTAATTTGCTCAGGTGTTTTGGGCTCTCAGCACTACAAAGGCTTTCAGCCTGTGCAGGACTTCGCCCATATGACTTGACCCTGTGGTTCAAGACTGATCTCCAAACCCTACAGGACCTTATGGATATAGTGAGAAGGTGCAGGCTTCTGTAGCCCCTTCAGTGGGGATTAGGAGTGCTGCAAAGGTTTGGGCTTAAATGCAGCTCCTTAAATGCAAGGGGTGGAGCCCTCAGATGAGGCTGGTCAGGGCACTCAGAGCTTATTGGTATACCTTAGACCCTGAAATCGTGTTTGGCGGGATCTCTTGGCAGCCTTTAAATTCATGCAGGATGTAGCATGAGTAATGAAGCAAGCTATAATTTTGCCCTCAATTAAATCCCTCCTTCCTGTTTTCAAAGAGTGAATCCACAGGAGGTGATGTGGATGGCGTGTCAGTTCTTCATGAAATGCTGAAGGCCATAAGCTACAGGTGGCGTTTGACTTCCACCAGAATTACTGTAGCACTAGAAGCAGGAAATTCTCGTGATGGTTCCTGTCTCTTGGGAGAAACTCGTGTTATCTGATTTACACTGAGGGGAGTGGAGATCTGCTTGTCTCTCAAAGACTCGGGGACTCATAGGAACATACCTTACCTCCCTGCAGAGCATATGTTGTCCACAGTGTGCCCCCAAGTTACGACAGTTGCAGGATGATTAATTTCTTTATGTCAAAACAAGCAGAATCACTGCCTAAGGCTGCTTTTGTTCCCAAAAACACGAGGCCTGGCCTTACAAAAGACTTGCTTGGGGTCTGCTGTGAACCCATGACAAGAAGCCCCTGCCCGGCTGCAGAGGGGTAGGGTGGGAGTGGAGATTGAGGGAGGCTCCCCAAGGAGGTGCTGACAGATTTTGAGAGTGGTTGAGTGAGATCCTCTGGGGATTTTGAGACTTCCTTTCCTTGGACTCCTGAGGTTGGTTACGGAGCAGCTGAACTGTGTTTACACGGAGGCCCGTCCAACACATTTCTTTCGCCTTCAAAAGAAGAGACAGCCTTTTTTACCATCTATTTTCAAAGATAAGGGACACAGCTACTGAAATCTGTAGCAGGACAAGGGGCAAAACACTTGCAACAGGCAAACACGCGCTGCAAGTTAACTGCAGATCACTGCAGTCCCAAAACACCTACGGCGTAAGGAAAACTAAACACAATTTCCACAGGAAGAACCAACAGGAAGAAAATTGAGGGGAGACCTCATTCATGTTTATAAATATATAAAGGGTGAGTGTCACGAGGATGGAGCCAGGCTCTTCTCGGTGACAAACAATGATAGGACAAGGGGTAATGGGCACAAGCTGGAACACAGGAGGTTCCACTTCAATTGGAGAAGAAACTTCTTCTCAGTGAGGGTGACAGAGCACTGGCCCAGGCTGCCCAGAGAGGTTGTGGAGTCTCCTTCTCTGCAGACATTCAAAACCCGCCTGGACGCCTTCCTGTGTCACCTCATCTGGGTGTTCCTGCTCCGGCAGGGGGATTGGACTGGATGAGCTTTTGAGGTCCCTTCCAATCCCTAACGTTCTGTGATTCTGTGATTCTGTGATTCTGTGATTCTGTGATTCTGTGATTCTGTGATTCTGTGATTCTGTGATTCTGTGATTCTGTGATTCTGTGATTCTGTGATTCTGTGATTCTGTGATTCTGTGAACTGTCTCCCTCTGTCCTGTGTTAGTTCCCAGGAACCCCATCTGCAGGGCCAGCACTTGGCTCTCCCTCAGTAACATTTTTAAGGGGGAGAACAAAAAGTGCATCCAACAGCCCTCCGGACCTACCCATCATTCTGAGACAACCACGGGTGGGTGTTCCCATGCCCAAAGGCAAGGGAGAGGGTGCCCAAAGTTCAGCCAGGAGACTGCCCATCGCCGTTACTCCTTCGATGTGAATAACGACAGCTCAAATATCTGGGCACCTTTACAGAAGGCGAACAGGGCAGACGTTATTCCCCACAAAACAAGACGTAGAAGGAGTCCAGCACAAAAGCAACGGCACGTGGTGAGCTACTGGATCAGGGAAGAGCCTTGCAGGCATTGTAAAGCTGCGAGGACCCAGCAGTGGCTGTTCCAGCACTTCTTCAAACCTGAGTCGCCTCTTCCTGGGAAGGATACTTCATTAGAAGAGGATTTTGAGCAAGTCTGTCCAAGGAGAAGGGTCTAGCTTTTTTCTGCTCCTGCTATACAACTTGCTTTCATGTCCATCTTGCTGCAGCCTTACTTTGCTTGAAGCACTGGATCTGTATGAAACCATGCCAGCTGAAGACTGGGATGCTAGTAATTTCAATAAAGAATAAACTTAAACTCTCTGGCTTATATCTAGAATTGTGTGACTTGTAAACAAGAGTGAATTTACAGCATGGTGTTGGCCTAGTTTATCCAAGAGAACTTGTTGCATAGCAGGCAGGACCCGGAGCCTGCTGGCAATGATTATTTCACCTGATTATTTTCACCAAATTGAGTATTTTTACCTGGAGTGAGCTACTTCTGTTGGCTGCCTCTCTGTCACGAGGAGTGGGCTGCTAGAAATCTATAGTAGGAGAAAAACTCATGACCAAGAGTCAACTGGGAGAGCTCCTCACCCGCAGTGATAGCTGGGATGACATTTGGTTTGACTCTGTTTTTCTCTACCTAAAAGAATGTGTAAAAAGACACCGAGGAGCTTTGTGGGGCAAAGTTTTGAAAACAACTCCTCCCTTAGAGGTTTGAATAAATCAGTGGAAAACATGGGGTTTTTTGAGGTGAAATCAGCCTCCAATCTGTTTTTTGCCTTGAAAGCTCTGATAAATGCGAGAACTTTGTCACATGGGATGCAGATATATTTTATCTGGAAAAGGGTATCTTAACAAGTCCTGTATAAATTCACCTTTGCTAGGCTGAGTTGAACTTCACATCAAACATGAAGCTGATTTTGATCTTCAGTGCCCTCTTCGGGGCTTCCTTGTGCCTGGAAACTTTTGTTGGGTGAGTTATGCTTTTATGGAAGACTTTTCATTTAAGGGCGTATTTTCCAGTTGTTGTTTTTCATCATCTTAACTTTACAAATCTGCTTGGGGAACGTTCTTTGCTTTTTATGACTGACCTGCCTTGTGGCTTTGATATTCTGGTATTTGAAAGAACCCCTCTCTTTAGTTTCATTTGGGTTTTCTAAAGATCTTCAGAGCCTTTCTAAGCAATTTTAATCCTTATTTCCAACTGTTGTCTGTATGTTGCCTTGCAAAATTATCTCCTTCTGGTGTATTTCCTCACAGCCTTAGTGACTGTGTAAGAACCTTAATAGAAGATGATAAAAAACATGATAGGCATTCCCGAGATGTAGTAAGTGAGCACTAGACTCCAGTGAGTAAATCTGTATATGAAGGATTAAGAAATAATATACATAATTTACTAAAACCCTAGGATTTGTAAAGCCAAGAGAAGCTATTTTAATAATTTAATCTGGGCTTTGGCATAACATAGACTGGATTCTTACGTCCAGTGGCTGTGGTTAAGGAGCCTCATCTCTTCACAGAAGAATCCAATCCCGAAATAAAGCTTATGTTGGTGGAGAATCCAATAATCAATTATTAATGCGGTAAAGTGCCTTCAGTGTTGATTTAACTTGGTCCATCCAAAGAATCCTATACCTCAGCTGGCCAGACTGAGGAACCTGGTGTTAACAAGTGTCTCTTCTCAGCAGCTGAGGCCACACTGGTGAATAAACACCCTCATGACTGAGCTCACATGCCAAATCCTTTGTTTACACTGTCTTAGGATGTGTTTTCCAATTCTGCAGTTATTCGTGTCCGTTTGCTCTGAGTCATCGCCGTTTTCCAGTGCTGCTTGCAGTAGATGCCAGCAGAGCAGCTGGGCCAGATCAGGATATGGCACTCTGTGGACTTTTATTCTGTCTCCAAACTCAGATGCCTAGCGAAGAGAATGAAAACAAATACACCAAAGGCTTTAACCACCAAATGCCATTTGCAAATGCAGCATTAACTTTTGGCTCACTTGCAGTAACCCCCAGGCTGTACAGCTAAGGAGCACGTCGGTGCTTTTGGCTACGACACTGATCCCGGGCTGTAATTCCAGTTGTTAATTCATTATGGCTTCCAGGTTTCCTTCAGAATCCCTGCTGGTTCTCCAAAATAGGATCTACTGGTCCCCAACTGTTGCATTCCCTTGTCGTTTTCAGATCCTTTTGTCATTTCATAAAAGCATTGGGTGAAAGGGACCTCCCGAAGTCTTTAGTCAACCCTCCTGCTCCAAGCAGGATGTGAGGCTCTTTCCCCTTCTTACCATCATCTGCTCCTACCGTGGGTTCATCAGCCTCTCCTCATGGTACTGTTTGCTTGTACCTATCTTATCAAGCAGCCTGGAACATTGTGTATTAAATGAGATACATGTTTTTAGTGATCTAAAAACCACGTAGAAGCTGTAGGTTGTGATCACTGGGCATTGTACGATGCACAGTCTAAGTTAATCACTGAGGTTACCTCTACAACCGGTGGAGCGAGGTACTTCCAGATGGTGATTTGATCCACCAGGAATGGTGCAAGACATCCTCTGATGCTATCAGCTTCTGACAACACGAGGAAGTTTGTCAGCTGTCTTTACTAAACTGAAGAAAGGTGAAGTGGATCCCATATTCAGAGTTCTCTTTGCTTCGTTGTATAATGCTCCCCAAGCATTTGATCCTTTGCAAACTCAACCAGAATTTGTTTTTTCTGCCAGTTGTTGACAAAAAAGTAAAGCTAATAGATGCAAGGCTGATCCTTGTAAGCAATTAAAAACTCATCCACTTGATGTCTTTTAAAATTAAATCTTAAAAATTGCCATTTAACTCATTACTGCTCTAGTGCACATGTAACAGGCTGACCCTGCAGGCTGTTGGGTGAACTCCTGGGTGACACTAAGTCAACTGCATTAAAGACAACCATATCAGCTGGTAGCATGCAAGTAACTACCCACCAAATTAATTCTCTAAATAACAAGCTAGTTCAACCAGATCCCTTTTTGAGACTGTTTCTGAAGATTTACTGATTTATTGCAGGGATCAGGTTCTCCGAATCCGAACAAGAAATGAGGAGGAGGTTAAGCAGTTGCAGCTTTTGGAGTCGCTGGAGCATCTTGGGGTATGGTATTACCACAAAGGCATTTTTTTAACATTTCAAACTGGGGTAGCACTTATCAGGATAGGACTTTGCATCATGTTTGGAAGTTTTCTACCATACTGTGGGAGCTGCCATAAATAAATTTGCTGTCTCAATACTTGGTGTCTGATCTGCAAGTTCTTGCACCAACCTGATACTGAGGAGTGAGTGCATTCACATTCTCTTCTCACTGGGTTTGCAATCGTATTCAAATTGATCTGCTCTTAATCTTAGTATGGAAAAGCTGGTCTTTAAAGTGGAGATGCTAATGTTTTTGTACTTAGCTCCCATCACTGTGGGAGGAATTTATTAGTTAGAGTCTACACTGTATTGAAACAGGGAAAACACACTATAAAATTCTAGGTTATTACCGTTCTTATTGCATTTGGTGAGAATTTTAATTATCACTTCCTTTCAAAATATTGATTGGAATAGTATGGAAACTATAAATTTAGAAAAGCCCTATCAAAGGTGAAATAGCAACAATGAGTTTCATAGCATAGCTGATATGATGCTGTAATATGGAGATTATTTGTAAACTGTTTTTGGCAAATGGGAGAATAGTAAAATAATCATTATTTTCCTTCTTCTTTTCAGCTTGATTTCTGGAGAAATCCCTCCACTCCTGCCCTCCCTGTGGATGTACGAATCCCCATGAACAGCGTCCAAGCAGTCAAAGCCTTCCTGGAGTCCCATGGGATTGGGTACTCCATCCTGATCGAAGACCTGCAGGTGAGCAATGCCATTGGCATGGATTTAACTCTTATATCCTTTGGAAACAAATAGTGATTCACAATCTGGGTTTGTTCATCAGTTCATGGACTCCTGTATACTCTGCTTTCCATGAGGTCTTCCTCTTATTTTTGTAGTCTGTGGATTAATTTCTCAAAGATCTATGGACCGCTGCTGTCATTTTGCAGATGCTGTCCAAATCCACGTTGAATAGTGACGTCAATAAACCCATGGGCTGATAATCCCTGAGGAATTTTGTGTGGTCTGGCCTCAGACATCTGGGAATCACAACATTAAAGTTACTCATAATTCAGTAAACTCTGTTAGGAGTAGTTCAGGATCATAATCAGAAAGCACTGTACACCATCATGTGAGAGCAAAGTCACCACATCCAACATTTCTTCATGAGCAGCAACCCCAAAATGGCATTTAAAATAGCATTAACTCAGCAGAAACTGCCTTTTTTTTTCCCCAGAAAGCTTTCCAATCCTATTCTTGTTTATCTTAACAAGCATTTAGAACTTAATTCCCCCTCTACTCTGCCCTGGTGAGACCGCATCTGGAATATTGTGTCCAGTTCTGGGCCCCTCAGTTCAAGAAGGACAGGGAACTGCTGGAGAGAGTCCAGCGTAGGGCTACAAAGATGATGGAGGGAGTGGAGCATCTCCCTTCTGAGGAGCGGCTGAGGGAGCTGGGTCTCTTTAGTTTGCAGAAGAGGAGACTGAGGGGAGACCTCATTCAAGTTTATAAATATATAAAGGGTGAGTGTCACGAGGATGGAGCCAGGCTCTTCTCAGTGACAAACAATGATAAGACAAGGGGTAATGGGCACAAACTGGAACACAGGAGGTTCCACTGAAATTGGAGAAGAAACTTCTTCTCAGTGAGGGTGACAGAGCACTGGCCCAGGCTGCCCAGAGAGGTTGTGGAGTCTCCTTCTCTGCAGACATTCAAAACCCGCCTGGACGCCTTCCTGTGTAACCTCATGTGGGTGTTCCTGCTTTGGCAGGGGGATTGGACTGGATGAGCTTTTGAGGTCCCTTCCAATCCCTAACGGTCTGTGATTCTGTGATTCTGTGTAATGATGACCATTTAATCACCAGACCATTTAAATACTACCCACTTTGCAACAGATTCAGCAGAAGCAGCTGTTTGCTCCATAGCTGTGGGAAGCTTGGCTCTGGGGCTGGAGGCAGTGCACAGCTCCTTCATGTCATTATTTGAGATTAATATTTGGTCAGAAGTTTGTAAATTAAGCAAACTTTTCTCAGCATTTGAATGCCTTTTAGGTTCTTCTGGATGAAGAAAAGCAAGATATGGCCTGCAGCCAACAAAGGGAGCGCAGCAGCAACAGCTTCAACTATGGATCCTACCACTCTTTAGATTCTGTGAGTACCTCAGCTTTGGGGGAAGAGGATTCTTTCTTCTGGCCTTTTTTGATGCTGTCTTCAATTCAAACACCCTATATTAAGATCTCTCCATCTTCTTTTGGCATGTGGCTCTGTTTTAAAACGGATTAGTTTTGTGGTCAGCACCATGAGCCTGACAGGCTGTTGGAGGCCTGAGGCTGTTGGAACAGGCAAGTGTTGATCATACCTTTTCATAAACTCTTCTGTAGACTTCTGGCAAAATCCTTCCTTCTGACCCTCGAAAGAGATGGAGAAATAAATGAATCTTGAAGTAGGGAAATGTAGGAAGCCAGTAACCGTCAAACAGAGCAGAGGGGAAGGTATTTTTGCTACTAGAAGTTCTTAAAGAGGGTTGTGAACTTATTCCTGAAATAAGTGGGGTCTTCAAGATAAAGCAGTGCTTCTTTCTACTTTGTGATGTTAGGAACAGCAGTGACTACACATGTAAGGTGAGATGAGGCTTTGAAGAGGTCATAGTAATGGAGGCGAAAGGAGAGAAAAGTCCATTTTGTCAGGTCCTACAATTGTTCTGGGCAGTACTATACATAAATGTAATGTAAACGTCATCATGACTTTTCATTTCAGATTTACACAGAGCTGGATCATCTTGCATCTGAGTACAGCAACATTGTCAGTAAGTTCCAGATTGGGGAATCCTACGAAAAGCGGCCTTTGTACGTGCTCAAGGTACGACATATATCACAGAATGTATGCATATATTAATTTACATATGCATTATAGATACAGCACAATTCAGTCCGGAGCATCCCAGTCTATACGGGATGTTCTTGACCAAAAGATGTTACTGAGAGTTTTAAAACTTTCTGTTTTGTCTTACAGTTCAGCACTGGAGGAAGCAACCGTCCTGCAATCTGGCTGGATGCCGGTATCCATTCCCGAGAGTGGGTTACCCAAGCGAGTGCAATATGGATAGCTAGAAAGGTCACTTCAGCAGTCATTTAATTTTGGGAATACCTCTGACTATTTAAAAGTATATCACGCCTGTTTGTGTTTAGCCAGCTCTGCTTCGCTCTTCTTAAAATGCAGCTGACTCCAAAGAGAATATGGCAGCTGCCTAGACAAAGAACTGAAAAATGCTGGGTGTTGTTAGAGCAGCTGGGAGAAATTTAGGTAGACAAAATGTGGTAGTCCAGGGGAAATTGTTGAGGACTGCAAGGGTGATAGTTATATAAATAAACAAGGACTTTTTGAAGATCAGTTTGCTGCTTCAGTCTGCCAACACCAACACTGTGTGGTTGGTTACCTTCCACAAAAGTGCCAGCTCTATACTTAAGTTCTGCTGAAAATTATGAGGCCACAGGAAAAGTGCAGTACAGTTGTGTGTTCCTAACCTGACTAATCCATCTCAATCTTAGTGCCAGCTTCAGCCCATTTTCTGGGACAGGTGGGAAGAAAATTTTGTTGCCCTCTTCCATTAACTTCCTGTCTTCAGAATGAAATAGTAAAACAGATTAATTGCTCTCTCCAAGCTCCAAGTCTAATGAGGAACAGTTCTGGCCAGTAGATAATTAATGTTTCTTGTCTCCCTGCCCTGAAAGCCAGACTTCCTCTGTACCTAGCTGCTAGAGAATAAACATGCAGGAAAGAAATACGCTGATAATCACAGTGTACCACGTTGTTTCTGCTTAGATTGCCTCCGATTATGGGAACGATGCATCCATTACCTCTCTGCTGAACAAAATGGATATTTTCCTGCTG